GTCATTTGGCATCCATTAGGATGGTAAATATTAAACTTACAGACAAGGGCATGCATGTCTGCAGGTTGTACCTGCAAATCACAAATCACAATCAAAGCGGAAATCTTGGGAATGTATGCTACTTTGGTAGATAGGATGGTCTCTCTAGCAAGTAAGATTCAAGCTGCAACTTAAAAGATGTCTATATGTTAAGCTGAAACATATGGTTGCTCATGATGAACAAAGGCCCTGAGGTTGGGGGCAACTTGAAGTAAGTTCAAGTGTTAAATGAGAAACTTTAGAGGCAGCTCAATTGGTAATGTCCGTGCCCTGCAAGCAGGAAGTCCTGAGATCAGATCCCTATAATCTATTATAAAAAGCTATGTCCTGTGATGTGCACATGTCATCCAGTGATGCTGATGTGGAAGATGCACATAGGTAGACCATTAGATAATTGTGGGAAAGCTAGCCTGGACTATATGAAAAGCTTCCAGGCCAATGAGAGGCCGTGTCTCAAACAAAAGGTGAAAGGGATTTGAGATGCGGCCCTCTAAGCTGTTCCCTGACACTCACACATGTATCATGCACACGTATACTCCCCCATAAAGAAATAAGTAGTGCTTAGAAAAACTAGGAAGACTCAGTGGATAAAGCAGCTTGCTTTGCCCTTTGACTATTTGTTATTAGGCTAAACAACTTGAGTTTGATTCCCAAAATCCATGTGTTAGATCAAGTAGTCCTCTGATCTTCACATGGGTTCTGTGACACATATTAGCCCCACATTACAAACCACAAAAGTCAATCAATCAATCAATCAATCAAATGTAATTCTAAAAAATAATTGAACAAAGACTATATTCTGGAGTGCAGAAGATAAGAGGGGAGAAGCCTGGATGAGAATAAAGGGCAAACAGGGGTCACATAATGCAGGAAAGACTGGTAGGGACCAGCATGCTGATATAAAGTAGCAAAGCTCCAAAGGGTACACAGAGGCCCATCAGATATGGACAGTGGAACCGTCTGGTATAGTTCTGTAACCGAGTAGCATGAGCAGACTGTTTTCCACCTGGCCTCCTCTGCCCCAGCCAAAAGGGCATGCACTCAGCTATTTGGACATCTCCTTCAGCAGTGACAGCTGGGATTGTCTTCTGCCATTGAGGCTGATGCACCTTCCATATTTTATCTCTTATTTGAACTTCAGCACCTCTGAGTTCTAAATATCTCATTCAAAGTTCCCACATGCTCCCTAGGAAAGCCCAATCCACTTCAAATTAAGTTAGTCCTTTGACTATTTCATACAAGTGAAGAAATACATTCTGATTACTCACCCTATCCTTTCTTATCTCCCTCCCATCTCAACCCCCTTCTCCAATGAGTTCCCTTCCAGGCTTCATGCTATTTGGGTTGATTTTATGACCCATTCGGTTTTATCAGGGCCATGTGTGTGTTCATGGGATTGAAACTGTCCATTGGAGTCTGGTGGTGTCACAAAGGGCTGCACAATTAAAGGCAATATCCCTCCTTCCCCTTAACTTATCAGTAGCAACAAACAGTCCTGCAGTGAGAGTTAGCTACCCACCATCCTCCTCCATCCATGCCTGATTCTTGACAGGTCCATTCCTGTGCAGACCCAGTGAAAACACAATCATTTGCTGTGGTTTCCTGATTATAACGACTGTCTCTTGCCCAGATTGCGTGTCACAGCCCTTCTCCCCATCCTTGAGCTCTTACATCCTTTCCATCCCTTCTTCTACACTAAAACCTCCTCTGCAACACTGCTTTTGAGCACGTGAGACTTTCATTTCCCATATACTGCTCAAGTTGACCCCATCCCCAAGCTCCCAAAGATGAGCTCTGTCTAACGAGATACCATGAACGTGATGGTATAATGTATCCAGGAGTCTTGTTGAAGTTAGAGGCAGTAGAAAGAGACTTTTGATTTGGCACCCAGTTCCTCATTTCAGGCTGGTGTAGCATCAGGATGTGACTAAGAGCTTAAAACCAGAACTTTCTCCCAAGTCTAGTCTAAGGTTCACCTTTGTTACTTACTCTATAACTACCTGAGAGACTGTGGTGGAAGAAGGAGCCAAAGTCTGATGGAAGCTAGGGTGTCTTCTTACTACGAGCTAAGACAACTTCAGAGACATCTGTATTCACTGTAGATCTGTCTTAGTTTGACCTGCCTGGATAAAGTTCTTGCTCATCCCATTCCATTCTTTTTTACCAATTACAGATTTCTTTTGAGAGCCCTCCCTGAATAGGGCACTAGAACATGTCTCTAAATTCTTGCCTTGGGTTCTGCTTCTAGAGATCACGGGGAGACACAAATTAGAATTACTGAGTATATAATGTAGCAGGTAATGGTTTTAGGGTCAATTCAGATTGACCCCAAATGAGTAGTTAGGGCTGAAATACATGATAATTGTCTGGCTCTATGGGATTCATATAGATGCCCATGGAAAACAGCTGGAGAACCCAAGGTCATGAACAAGACAGCAGCAAGTTACTTTATCACCAGAGTGCTGGCCTGTGTCTGGCATGTGATTTTCTTCCAGATACACAAAGCCTGTCAGCAGAACCCCAAGAAAGGTTACCAAAATGGCTGAAGGGTTGTGATTCTTAAAGAGATAGTGATGATATCTTTCTAGGACTTTATAATTGCCAGATTCCTGGGGAATGCCCAGGATCAAGTCCCCCTCCCACTAAAATAAAATATTTACAGCAAAATTCCACCAAAAAGAAATTTCACATACATAGTAGAAAAGGAATGAGAGGAGTCATGTATCTTTCTCATTTCAGTGCCTTATGGGTAATATGTGGATTCAGGCAGCATTTTCTTTTGATTGACCCCAGGATGTTCCAAGTGTTGTAACTGACATGAAATAGACCCAGCATGAATCTCCTTCCCTTAACCCTACTGTTGTATTTTTCAAGAATCCTTTTCCTCTAAGGCTGTATTGATAAGGGATGACTCCCTGGGCAATGACAGGATTCTGTGTTAGGTAGTTCTCTACCCTCCTCCCAAGTGGTAATGGCATCTCTGGGAAGAAACTGTTGAATCTCAATGTACTATAGAAACAGGATGAAGATGCTGGAAATGCCCCTAAAAGCATGGTCTGGGCTTAATGAGCTAGGGATTCCTACATTCATTCATGCATCCCTACAATTTCACACACTCACCCTTTACCTGTGCTACTAAAGAAAGCTAGCCTAAGGTCTCTATAGAGGAGACACATGCCATGGAGAGACAGACAGCCTGTCTGCTCTAGTTCTTCTAATATCATTGCCATTCTCCATCTGCCGAGTAACGTGTCTCCGGAGAAGCCAGTGGAGTAGCCTTCTATACATCACAGGACTATGGCCCTGAGACGGGTGGGAAAATACAGTCTTATATATTGTACCATTGTCCTTCTATATACCCATTGCCTCTCAAGTCACATGCTCCCGATTCTCAGGTTAAACAGACCTAGTAAAGAAGTCTTTGAAGGAACCAAGGTCTCAGTGTTCCCTAGAACCCACAGCAGGGGGAGGAATCATCTTGGCCTCTTCCTTATGTAGAGTGAGAAAAAACTGGGAAGCCATGGGGCATTACCATTGAAAAGTTTTCTCTCTCCTCTTGGACTACCTATTTAAGTGGGATGCTGTAGACACCCAGCTTCCTGATTTCTGTCTAGAGCCCAGTGCTACCCAATTGATGATGTTCTTCCTTCTACAGTATCTGTTTTCTTCAGGGGCAAAGCCTGCCAACGTCTGTGATTTGTGTCACTTTTGTCTACAGGCCATCAATTCTCCCTGCCTCAAGAAGACTATTTTATCTCTTTCCACAGAGTCATTTGAGTTCCTCAGAGGGAACAAGTTAGGGACACGCCAGCTCAGTGACTTCTTATCACCAAGAGTCGCAATGTCCCATCTTCTTCCTGTATCATCCATTTGCTGCCTACATATGCAGCTGAATTCTTAGAATTTAGAAAACTTCTAAGAGACCTTGGAGCATGCTTTGATAGCTAGATATCTACCCCACCCATTTCTTTCTTTCTTTATGTCTCTATGTCCTCTTTCTCACTCACCGTCTCTCCTCTTCTACCTGTATGTATGTGACTCCTCTGTTCATACGCATGTGCACATATTCAAATATATGTACATATAAACTTGAGTCATTGCCTGTGTCTATTATATCTATGATGACACGTAGAACTATATTTATAAATTTTCTACCCTTGGAAGTAAAGTGTGAAATTGTGTATGTCGTGAATAAACACAGAGCACAGAGCCCAATTTTGTTTCATGAGCATTGGTGGGGGAAGTTCTTGTTGAAAATATCAAGTCTGTAAGAAAAAAGATAAACCTGATTTCTAACCATTCAACCTTGTAATAGGTTAAATGATAACAAACCATTCATTGATTTTGTTTTTTTTTTTAAAAAAAAGTAATAAAGAGAAACATGTACCAATTGAAAGAGCCAGGCAATTCAATTATAATTAGGAAAACAAAAGTGATGAGCCTGAACAATGGTGCCTCCGTGTTTTGGGGGATAAGTATTGAAATGTGAAGGACACAACAATGCGGTGTCTGCTTCCTCATTTTAAAGGCACCAATACTAATCACCTCATACTTGAAAGCCATGCACCAACTGAAAAAAGTACAAAGCCTCAACTACTGGTCTAATAGACAAGCTTAAGAAAAATAGCCCACAAATGTAGACACAAATACAATGGATGTATACATGTACACATACAGAATACAATTTAGAAATATTTTACATTCATTGTAAAATCTATCCATCCATCCATCCATCCATCCATCCATCCAATAAATATGTCTGGAGCTCTTAATATGCTTTAAGCTCCATGATAAGAACATATTTTTTGGAGATACATGGTGTTGGTGAAAACGACCCCCCCAAATAATTCTTTCCCTTTAGTTTTAGAGACTGTTGCTTAAACTTCCCTTGTAGGAACAAAAGGAGCAATGCTTGTATTGCTGAAGAACAGCTATAGTCAGATAAGGACAGCTCAACATACCTTTTGTAGCCAGACGCACACAGTTGATTTTTGTCTCCTGGGAACAACAAAAAGAATGACACAGTAGTTAATTAATTGTTGATTATATAAGGATTATTCTATAAAAAACAGTTGGGATTTGTACATATACATATGTATGTACATGTATTTAATTATAATTTAAAATTTATCCTTTCCATTTCTCCCCTATTGGGATCACCTTTTAATCTCAGCCTTATTTCCTCTCAGGCTTAGAACATATGCTGTTTTGTTTGTTTCATGGCACCTACTACCTTATCAACCTTTTCACTAGACAGAACTACTTCATAAGTATTCCAACACCCAAAAAATTTAGCAGTGTTCAGTGGTTATATGATAGTGTACAGGGTGCTTTTTTTTCTCAGGTATGAATTAGCATAAGGAACAGCCTTCCTTGGGAAACTTTGTTATGAGCAGCAATATGTCTACCTGGACAGACTGAATGAACACTTGATAAAAGTCAAGGCTGTGTAAGATGTGTTATGAATCAAAAAAGTTTACGTTACAGAAAGATGATTTGATCTTGAGATTTTTCATGCTTTTCATAGTCCTTATAACTAAAATTCTCTCTCTCTCTCTCTCTCTCTCTCTCTCTCTCTCTGTGTGTGTGTGTGTTGGATCTTTATCCCCCTTTCCGTATGTGTGTGTGCATGTGCCTGTCTGTCTATCTGTGTGCCTATTAGTCTTTATATACAATCTTTACTGGATGAACCGTTAGCTGTTTCCCAAGAGAAAAGGTCCCATAAATCTGTGACATTGCCAGCGTACTGTGGAGTTTCAGCAAAATGTGCTCATAAGGACAATCATATTGGCCCTTCTTTACCAGAACTCATTTGCCAGGATGTCCTGGAACCAGTAGAAATCCCATTGGACTAAATTATAGTGCGAAGGTAATGCAGCAAAGAAAGAAAAAAGAGGGACTGCAAAGGTGTGAGGTGCCAAAGCAATATCTGTCAAGAGCCCAGAGCTTATTATAGGACCCATACTGTCTTGAAGGTATTTGGGTCCATCAGGTTAGAAAGATTGCATTGCAGTAATAAACCCCAGACTTCCATGGACAGAAACACCAAAGGCTTATTTGCTACTCAGACTACCAGGCCCACATAGGTATATTCTGGGTCTGAGGGATGGGGGTGGGGTGGCATGTAAATCACTTATTTACTCTGAGAGATAAACATAAATACTCAATTCATTTTATCCCAAAGGGAACAAATGATGAAAAGGCAAACTCTAGAAATCAAAAGCTTTATGTCGGAAGTGACACTCTCAATCTACTCCTGCTTCATTGGCCAGAGCTAATCATAAGGCCACACCCAGTGTCAGTGTGGAAGGGGAATGGAATCTTCCACATCTTACACCCAGGAGCAGAGAAGAAATGGCAATGTTGCTGGCCCAGACTATTCCGTTTATGCGTGCCCCTGAGTGCTATAACTGGTTTCTTTCACTAGATTGGGTACAACTCCCAGTAATTAAGTTCTGCTTTCCCCACTCTAGCTCCTGGCTGCGCAGAGTGTTTATCTCTGCTTACAGAGGAAAAGGATGGGATACTGAAAGATAGGTGTCACATCAAAATGTTCTTTGTCAGCAAGTGGGAGATGGCTGAAGGGGAAGGGAGAGGCAAGGAGGGGAGCAGAGAAAAATGTAGACCTCAATACAAATCAACAATTAATTAATTAATTAATTAATTAAAAGGCAAGAGTTCAAGTCTTCTGAGCACCTTTGCTACTCATTCTGGGACAACTTCTCTTTTGTGTCTCTTGGTGTGCAATGATGAGAACAGGAGGGCACAATCTTTCTTAGGCCTTGTCCACAGATATCATTATCTAGACTATAGTTATTTTAATCACTAATAGTGAGCTTCTAGTAACATAGCCAAAGTATAGAATCATATTTACCACTGTGGGTTCTATCTTCTTTGATATGATTCTAATAACCTCTCCTATTTGTATCACTTACAAATTTTTAGAAAGCATTTTTTTTTCTAACGTTTCATTCAAATTATTGGCCAGTGTAAGCAGGAGAATGCCCATGGTAAAGCTCCCGGGCAGACACTACAAGCTCCTATCCTGACTGACATTCGCTTGTACAGCAGAGTCTTTCAGTTAGCCAGTTACCAGTTCCTCTGACTGCTCAAGCCTTCTGAGTTCTTAAGTAACTCAAGGGCTCTTCCTTCTGCACAGCAGAGGCTCAAGACGATGGTCAAGTTCATTGTAAATAGAGCTCCACTGCCTACTACATTTGCCTAACCTATCATTCTGAGGTGCCTCTTAAAGGAAGCAGGTTGGGTTGGCCCAACTTGTTCTTTGGAATGACCATTTCTTTTTCCATTATGAAAATGTCCCTGCAAGAACACTGTGTATTTTATAAGATGAAAACCATAAATGTTAAACAGTTCAGCAAATTATGGTTCAAATATTTGATGGATTCCATTTAGGATTACACAGGAAAATTGAACCTTGTTATATTTCAAATAAAAGGTTACCTTTAATTAAAGAATATATCCAGAAGACAGAAAGAAAAATGACCAAAAGGACATGCAAAAAGTAGAACTGATATTCCAAAGGCTAAAGTCATGGATAAGTTGAAATGTGTACATGATGTTAAATGGACAAACTAATAGTTTGATTTTCATATTTGGAGAGAGAGGAAGTCCTTAAATTCCCACTGTTTTTCAGCTCTGTGCTTAGTTTAAAGGGCCTGATATAGTTTGAGAAAATTTGACCCTCAGAAAACTGAAACCCTTCAAATGGTGGTGTGGCACTGACAACCGCTGGGCAACTGGAAAGAGGGAGAGGTGTAAGCTATGAGTCAGGGGCTCATCAACTTAATATCAGTGCAAAGGAAAAGGAGTTGGAAAACACTGTATGAGAAAACGTGCCATTTTATTCATGGCAGTTGCGAATAACAGTGGGCGAAGGCTGGATGAAGCCATGACTGTTGGAGTAATGTGAAAATATAGCCATCCTTTGGTACCCAAGATAGAACCCCCATGGAAACAAACCCCACAGATGTTCAAGTTCCTTAAGTGTGTCCTCCAAACCCATGACTCTGCCTTTGTGAACACAGGCAGAAGACTGACTGCACTTAACTTTAAAGAGATTCAATCCAATCTTTCTGATCTAAGAAGCTGCTCTCACAGAATAACCCTGAACATAGAAAATGGCCTTCCCACTAAACATGTTGGACCCAGAGTGAAAACTAAGAAAGATATGTTTGTCTAACTATACAAGAACCATGAAGGGAGTGGTGGCACATTAACACAGCAGAACATGAAGACGTTTTTACAGCTAAAGTGATTGTGAGGGCCATTTAACTAGACAGAACTGTAAGCATATGAAATATTAAGTAAGGGACTGGAGTGATGGCTCAGCGCTTTAAAGTACCTACTGCCCTTGCAGAGGATCTAGAGAAAGTTCCCAGCATCCTCATAGGAGCTCACAATGACCTTAACTTAAGTACCATGGGATCCAGTGCTCTCTTCTGGTTACAAAGGGCGCCAGGCATACATGTGGTGCACATACAGACATGCATGCAAAACATTCATACACACAAAATAAAAATTTAACAAGAAAATATTAAACAAATAAGCAAAACACTATTGTTGCTCTAACTAATGGGTAATTCTAAGCATGAAGAGAGGTCCTGAAGGGCATGTAATTGTTGCACTGTTAATTAGATATGACAAATTTTTCAAAGGCAAGCATAAATTAATGACAAGCACCCAAGTCTAAAAAGATATCTAAAAGATATATTAACCTGCCACCTGTGGGAATTTTTTAAAATGTGTGTCCACATGACTGGAACTCTTGGGTAGCTACAAGGGTTTATTCCATCACCTACTCTTGCTCCCTGTATCACTTGTGAGACTTCCTAACTTAACCTAGAACCGTCTGCCCCTTCATGACTTCAAGCCTGAAAACCAGGTTGTTTCCTAACACCACACCTTCAACTCCACACTTGGCAAAGTCTGTTTTCTACATGGCAGAGTGCATGTCTGGATGCATTAAGTCTTCCTGACGTTCACAAACACGACACTTACATGTTCACTTTTTCCTATGTTCCTGAAGCTCTAATTCCGTAAGCAATTTGTCTTGGTTGGTTAGAATTAGGTAAGGAATCACAAAGCCCTGAGTCACTTCCTTGACTTTCTGGTTGATTGGATTGTCAGCAAGCAAATCGGAGCCCTGCTGGACACTATAAATTCTATTACATGGGTGGTCTGGCCAGTCAGTGTGCATATGTCTAGAGTCCTGATCATATTAACAAGAAGGAAGTGCTTTCTTTGTGCTCAGATTGTGTTAGAACTTGGAGGGTATAGTGTTTTCTGTTCTATCTCTATCATATCTTTCTCAGGGTCTATAATATGCATCGAAGCAACACACATTACTTTCTCATCTTTTAAACCTTGCTCATGTCCTCCTTCCTGCCATAGACTTGACAGTCTTCACACAGGTGCATGTCACCTTGGGGTAGAACTGATAACAACCTCACTTTGATACTTGTGTTGGGACTTCCCCTCTACTCCAGGCTCTGCCAGAGTTTTGCAAGACTGAACAAGTCACCTTCTGTCTCTGTGACTCTGTCTCTCATAATCAAATGACAGAGAGAAAGACTCCTTTTGTGGAGAAGCTGGATCATCCTGAGGACATTATCAAACATTGAATCTGGTCTTACCACTACTATTCCTGCCTTTCCAGCATTCTGTCTTCTTGATTCTTGATACCACTCTATTGAATCTTGCCTTATACAAATCTGTTTTTACATTATTACCTACATTATGTCTGCAAAGTCTTTTATCATAAGCCAGGTCTGACTTACCCAAGAGTACACTCATCCATCCTTTAACAATTATTGCAATTGTCAGATGCCTCTTTGATGGAAGAAGGTCATTGGCTAATAAAGGAACTGCCTTGGCCCATTTTATTGGTTAGAAGATAGGTGGGAGGAGTAAACAGAACAGAACGCTGGGAGGAAGAGGAAGTGAGCTCAGACTCGACAGCTCTCCCCTCGGGAGCAGAC